CAAACGTCTCCATTTACGGTCAGGGCTGTGCGGCTGCATTTCTGCATCTGGGAGCTTTGTAAAACAGGCCAGCTCCCACGGCCCTGTCCAGACCCGGTTTTGGCAGGGGAACAGTGCTGGAGCCCCTCTTCTGCAATCTCTGTGGCATCCCAGAGGAGGTTCAGCCCTTCCTGGGGACTGCTTTTCCTGCTGTGAGGCTGGGGGGCATTGCTGTGCTCCCCACACAAATCCTCTGCCAAAAATGAGGCAGATTTTCCCGGCAGTGCCATCCTCAGTGCCACCTGAAGAGGAACCTTTGCAGTTTTTCCAAGCCAGGTCACAACCCTACTTACTGACATGTAAAAGTGAGGCAGCAAGAAATGCTGGCAAGCCCCAGCTGATTGCAGTTTCCCGGCCATGAGTAACGCTGAAAACATTGAAAAACTCCAGCAGCATCTTGGGAGGAGATGAGAACATTTTATTCCTCCCTTTCACCATAATCATTATTTTTCTCCAAAGGTGCTGTGTGCTCCCCAGGACAACCCAGCGTGCCCCAGCCTGGCTCTGGTGAGGCTGAGCCCAGAGGAATGAGGGTCACCAGCACTGAGCGTCTCCCTCAGGACCTCCTTGCAGGTGATGCAGCTTTGCTGGGTGATACACATGCACATCTATCTTACCCCGAGCTTAAAAATTACTTAAGAAGTGACAACATGTGGATTACCCACCCAAAAGTCCATGGACAGGCATGGTGTTAACCCCCACCTCCTTTCTGGCTCTTCTAAATGTGCTCCTCAGGGAAAACCCAGACCCCGGTATTTCCTATGATCAAATTTCAGCCCCCCCAGTCAGCTCTGCTCCAAGCCTCGGATGAGCTCCGTCCCCGCAATAACTCATCCAGAGGGAAGGAATTAGGGGGCTTAGCACTTTTGGATGACGGTCACTGGAGCTGGATAACAGGCACCGGCAGCCGGCACAGACGTGGCAAGGGCGTGGGACTCAGCCAGCCCAGAAAAAAGCTGTGTTTACAAAAAAGCAAGATGAAGAGGAATGAATTGCCAATTACGCAAAACCCTTTAAATAGAGCAGTGCAAACCTTTCATGTACAGCAGACAAATGATCTGCGGCCACGTGGAAACGGCATAACGGATAGGAAGGCTGAGAGCGGGGAATGCGAGCAAGTCCATTTTCTGGAAGCAAGAATTAGCTGGATTAGCTGGATAAAGCCAAACACTTTCTAAAAAAAACCCTCATGTATTAAAAACTAAACATGCATCAAACTGAAAGAGAAACAGGAAAAAAAAAGTGGCTGTAGGAAGATCTGAGGATCCACTCTCTGCTCCCGCTCACGATAAAAATGCTATAAAAAAAATTTTATGTAAACTTGCCACACACAACACATCATCAACAGGCATTTATCAAATGAAACACCAAATGCAACTCCTCTTCCTAATCCCAAGTCAAACAGGCTTTGAGTTTCAGACCCTCAGGAAGAGATTTCCATATGATCCTCCTCTGCTGAGTTTATGATCAGACCTGAATTTCAGCATTTATCTGACACAACACATCAGGGAGGGCTTTCCTTTATCCACCAAGCCTGTGGTTTTGCCTTTCCTCAGCTGCAGCCACTCAGCTTGGGGGAAAAAGACTTTAGTCCAGACTGCTTGATTGAGTAAAGCCAGGATGGCTTCTCTGGTGGGGGGATCTCCAAGCCCTCGCGCTATGTGCCAGCACCCAAGCGAGCCAGCATTCACAGAAGGGCTTATAAACGCTGCCTCTGAGCCAAAACCTGACTTTTGGGGCTTAGCAATGCAAAGAAAACATATGTGCACGAGGGGGTCCCACCGAAAATGTCTGTGTGGCCAGCCTGCGAGGTCTTTGTAGTTTGGGGAGAGGATTTGTGGTGTTGAAAACTGCTTCAACGTGGTCTGGAGGAGCTGTCACACGAGCAACCGCAGGAGCACATTCACCACTCGCCATCCCCCCGCGGACTGAGGTATGGTCCTCATTACCCACCAAGTGATACGTTTCGAGCAATGTGTTCGTAACCCCCCACGTCTGATCGCAGCTAATTCGCAGGCGAGGAGGGAGTGCATTTGCTTAATACACTGCTCTTTGCAAACAGGCTGATCGCTCCCAGATGCATCTGGTTCTGCCCGGCAGCCCTCGAGGCAGCAGGAGAGGAAATCATTGCAGCTCCCCAGAGTCTCCGGCCAAAGCAGTTTCAAGATGCTCCAGAAGCCCTCCCGCATCCCTTTGAGGGAGCTGTACCCATCTCCCTCATTCCATCAGACCCGGCTCCTTCTGCTCTTTTTTTCCACCCCAAAATAAGCTTCCATTCAGGCAGTAGGATCCGTAACTATCCTCTGACCCGAGCACTTGATGTCACACACAGTTACTGCAAGGCTGCATAAAGCTGGATCCAGGTAAGGATGGCATTTTGATCTCACCCCAGCAGAGAGATCAGCTCTGCTGATTCCCATGGTCTCCCTTAATCTTACCATAGAAATGTGAAATTTGCTATGGAGAAGCTCCCAGGAAATGCTGTGCTTGGTGGGAAGGGACAAATTTTGCACAAGTATTTGAAAGTCCTGCTCACGTGTGATTCAAGCCAACACAGCTCGAGATGCTAAAGCCCAACACAGCAATGGGAGAATTTCTTCCATGGCATAAACCAGCAAATCAGCCCACAGCTTCAACCCATGGTGAGACATCTGTGGCTAAACACAACTTTGAAGTGACAGCCAGTAGCTGTGGGTTGGATGAACATTATATTTACAGCTTCTTATTCACTTCAGCCACGAGATAAGGCAATAATCAAAATAAGGGCACTCAGATCTTACAAAGGGAATTCCAGCTACAGTCTCAGCATCAGTTCCAAGTGATATGGGGAGAGATTTCCCTTGGCAAAGAGCACGGCACTCCCGGTGGTCGGGGATCTGCCAGGACAGAGCACTGCTCCCTCCGAGGAGCTTCAGCACGCTCCTGCCCCGAGCAGAGCAGCCCTACGACCACCCCAGAGCTGGTGGCTTTGCAGGCAAGCCAACGTGTTTTGCCCAAGTTTGCAAAACATAGTAGTATTGGAGATGTGAATCCAAACATCCTCTTCCTCTGCTGTCTGCTCCACCCTGCAGTGATTTAGTTACTAACTCTCCGAGCAGATGCTACTACCTACGGCTGTCGAAGGGCATCATTTAAGCAGAAAAAAAACATCCTCAGTGGGTAATCCCATCCACACACACACAGGCACAGTACTGATCAGAGAGCTGGGTCAACCCCCGTGCAGCAGAGGTTGCTGCTTTTCCTGGGTATGAATTTTTCACGATCACACCTCCTGGCTCTGCCCATTCATACGGTATTTGAAAACAGCAAGATGATTTATTGTGTGAATAAAATTCAGCCACGGGTCACTTGCAGACTAGTTAGTGTGATTTACAGAGCAATTCGCTTCCTATATTGATCACTAGAAATTCCCACTGAAGGTGTGATCAAACACTTAAAAAATATATCATGTGAATATCGTTTCTGCTCCTTCATGGAATGGGCTCCAGAATGGACCCAGAGCTTCCAGATTCAGCCTCCTTCACTTTTGTCTTCACTGTGGTTATTCGTGTGCTTGATTGTAAGCCCAATGCTATTGAGAAAAGCCCCAGGAAAGCAATCGGCCAGTGCAATTCATACAGATTTACTGCAGCATATTTTGAACTGTGATTATTGATATTACAAACAGCGCTTTAGCAGAACCATTCTCCAAACAGCCAATTCATCCTCATGAAACTAAAAAAAAATAATTCAAAGGCATCTCTGTGAAATAGGAAGCCAAAAGTCTCCTCCTTGTGATGGACGTGCTTATGGCCATGCATATGGATGCAATGCAAAGATGGGCAGAAACCCCTGAACCTTTTGCTAAGCCTCAGAAAACCGTGTGCAGGGATGCTCACCATGCAGAGATACAGCATCGCTGGTATGGCATTTTGCTCAAACTAATTAGTCATCATTATTTAGCTATTCCCCTTTCAGCTCTGGCTCTCTGATCGCACAGACACCCGGTGCACATCACGCGTCTCCGGATTTCACCTCCTTGGTGACTAAGGACTCAAAACTGCACTACCCGTTAAGATATTTTTAGTGGTATTATTAAACCACCTTTCAGAAAGCGGGGCTGAATGCAGTTCCGATGATTCACCGTGCCTTCAGCAATCCCCATTCAGGTTTCCCTGGGTGGGATGCTTCCCCCACCCTCAGCGTATCAGCTGCCCGTGATTCAGCCGCCATGGGAAGTTTCATTTCCTGCTTCTGGGGCTGCCCAGCAGCCTTTGTAAAAGGAAAGGCATTCTTCTAATTCCTGCTGTTAACCCCTTGGTGATCTCTGAGGCGGGAGCCAAAATTGCCAGAAAAGCTGAGGATACGGCTGCATCCATGAGCCATAGTTACACATCCAGCACCAGGCTCTCATTTTCCTAATTTTATCTTTTTAAAAATAAAGAATAAAAAATGTGGATGGAACACAGGTGTATTTTAATGCATGTTTGTGTTTGACACACAATTTATAACCTCTGAAATGTCTCCAGTGACATCTGCCCATGACACCAGCACCGCATCCTCTTCTGCCACGGGATGCACCCTGAGCATCATACATCAAGTTCAGATGGCAAGTAATGGGGACGGAAACCCAGGCTGGGGTATTTTAAGCAGATGCAATGCGTTTCTCAGTAAAGGTTAATTAAAAAATAACAAAGTGATATAAAAAAATTGCAAAGTGATATAGTAACAATGTCAAAAAAACCCAGGCTGGTTTTCCCTTCCACTGGTGGGGACAGGGACTGGTTTGGCACAAAGTAAAGCACAACCCACCATGAATCAGCCCCCACAGACACCTCTGTGCACATCTTCCCCCAGCACAAGTGCACACAATCACAGCGTGAAGCTGCTGAGAAAACTGTCTGAAAACCTTTTCCTCTCCCTTTTTATCTCCCCAGATTATTTGGAACAAACCCATGGACCAGGAAATGAGCAGCTCCTACCTGGACGAGGAGCTCCAGCTTTCTGTCATCGAGGAGGTGCACTTGGCATCTGCGGCCCTCCGTCATCTGCAAGAGAGAAGAGGCACATGTTCAAGGCACGCAGCTTCACATTTCTGGCACGCAGCTCCAGCAGCCGGCTCCCCGGCTGCAAACTAAAGGCTTTCATTCACCGCCTTGCTTTTGGCTTTATTTATTTATTTATCTATTTATTTATTTATTAAATTCCCCTTCTTTGGCACCAGGGAAAGAAAAGGCTGGAAGGAAGAAAAGGCGAACACCAACCCATGTGTCTGAGGGCGGTGTCCAAACACTCCTTGAACTCCAGCACCTCAGTGTTGTGCCCACTGCCCTGGGGAGCCTGTCCCAGTGCCCGACCACCTCTGGGTGCAGAACCTTTCCCTAACCCCCAGCCTGACCCTCCCCTGTCCCAGCTCCATGCCGTTCCCTCGGGTCCTGTCACTGTCCCCAGAGAGCAGAGCTCAGCACCTGCCCCTCCGCTCCCCTCATGAGGGAGCTGCAGGCCGCCATGAGGCCTCCCCTCGGCCTGCTCTGCTCGGGGCTGAACACACCAAGGGACCTCAGCCACTCCTCACACGTCCTCCCCTCTAGACCCTGCACCATCTTTGTAACCCTCCTTTGGACACTTCCTAATAGTTTTATGTCCTTAACTATTATATTGGTCCATAGGTGTATCCATACTAGTATAATTTACTCGAACTCCTAACAGGCACGATAATATCAGTAACACTTTTATGTCTAGAACACTATTTCTTCCAAGGTCCTGTAGATTGGGGTGTTAAGAAATAAATGAGCCCTGGCCTGAGGAAACTCCCCTCCAGTCAGCCAAGGCCATTCCTGACGCCCTGTCACACACACAGCATCATGAGGAACAACTTTGCTTTACACAGCCCCGGATCCAGGCTCAGCCCCATAAAGCTCTCCAGCCGCACACACAATCCCCTAATGGGATATGGGCAGCCTAAGCCTCTTTTGCTCCTGGAAATCTCTTCCCCAGCATGACTTGGGCAGCATGCAGGCAACCCCAGGGCAGTCACGCATGCCTGGACTAAGCTTGGCCCTGCTGTGCTGCTGTTCAGGCTCCTGGGGACATAATGCACTCCAGCCAAGGCATATCCTGATGACTGGGTGAGTTGAAACAATGTCCTCCAGCACCCATAGCACAGGCAGTGCGTAGCTGTGGCATGGGGTCTTCAACCTCAGCCATCTCCAACACTATCTCCAGCACCATCCCCTCAACCTGCTCGTGTGTGCTCCTGTCCTCCTTGTGAGATCTGTCCCTTGTCCATTTCCTCCTCTGCTGGGGTCAGGACAGACCAACCCTTGCCCAGAGAAGCTGTGGAGTCTCCTCCTTGGAGATCTCCAAAAACTGCTTGGAGATGGTCCTGAACAACCTGCTCTAGGTGGCCCTGCTTGAGCAGAGAGGTTGGAGCATATGGCCTCCAGATGTCCCTTCCAACCTCAGCCATCCCGTGATTCTGTGAAAATGAGCTTTTCCCTTCAACTCACCCCAGATTTACAGTTCCGGTGTACTCAGCCCAATGCAGCCAGGGCAGACTTTACCCAGGTCATTACCTGCACCAGAGTGGCTCTGGCATACCATGCACAACCTCACTTTCCCACTCATTTTCCATGAACACAACTGGAGCCCTGGCACTGCAGCCAAAGCAAAGCCTTGTAAAACAAGGCTCCTCGTAAATGTCAGCCAGTTACCTCCGTAGCTATAAATTGTCTTCTTACGGGAGTTTCATCTTGTAAGTAATGTTATGCAAAATATTGCTTCTTATGGGTATATAACTCAGTGAGAGAGATTTCCTCTATGAACTCTGAATTAAGCAGCTGTCAGCGCTGTCATGTAGGTGCAGGGAACCACAGGCTGTGCTGGACTTCCACCAAGGAGCACCATGGATAAAGCTCAGAGCAGCCAAGCTCTGCTTCTGTCTCTCCCTCTCTGCCTCACCTCTTTGCTGTCAGGTATCTGCAGCATCCCTAAGATGGGGAGAGTGCATCGATATTGCAGTTTTAACATGAGTTTACCCAAGGCAAGAAATAAAGCTGGGACTTTCTCATGGCAGTAACACACGATGGCAGGAGCACAGTCCAGAGCTCAAGTGCTGTACTCGAGCGGTTACACAAATGTGGAAATGAGGAGAAAAATAAATCAAAAAGACGCAAAAGGGAAATTTTTCTTAGATGTTTAACTTTGTGTTTTAGTATTTCAGGAAAATACTTGCTTAGGAACTTCTCTTGTTCTCCACACTTTCCCAACCCAGAGTTTTGTCTCCTCTTAGTGCTTCTGCTGCTTAAGAAGTCCCAAATGCAAACAGCTGGTAACATGAAGTATCTAAATAAAGTGAAGCTCTGAAATGCAGCACAGATGATTGACAAATTGCAAACAGAGCATTTCATAAGCATCACTTGCAGAAATGGGGGAGGGAAGGGAGGGAAAGCATGCTGCTTCCATGTCAGCTTGCCCCCAGCACTTCTGTCCATCAGCAAAGTCCTTGGTGGCTCTCAAAGACCATGGTAATTTTTACAGTTTGACTTGAAGTGTGTAAGCACACAGCAAAGCACATACTTTAATTCACTAGTGGCACTTTGCTTCTGTGCCTCTCAGCAGTTTGAAGGTTTATGTTACTAGCTAATGACCCCAACCGGTGGCCTGCAGACCATTTCCACCCAGGTTTTCCTACATGAGAGATGGTGAAGAGCGCTGGGGAGCATGCACCACCTGCTACACAGCCTTGGGGGGAGAAGAAGACCCAGCAGCAGCCCCTGCTCCCAGCCTCAGGCACCTCCACAGATAGTGAAGGAGCCTGTTGTTTTGGAAATGGAGGCTCCAAGTTTTGTCTTGGTTGATCCTTTGATGCTCAAAACCCTTGTCATTTACATGGCTGATCTCTGATACAGCATTTTCTTTTGTAGGCAGGATGCCCAGCCACTGGGCTATTTCATTTCCCAACTGAAATAAATGATGCTTTCCAAAACAAGAGAAAAGAAATGGAGACGGCAGAAGACAAGACTTCCTACCTGCTATAAACTAAACCATGATGGTCCTTCCCTCCCTCCTTTCTGCTTTATTATTCCGCCAGGTGCCTGAAGCCCACGCGGTGTACTTTTTGCCATCATCAGAACAATACAAACTCGAGTAGTTTGTCAGAGCAAGAAAGGGGAATGCTTCAAAGCACAGCAAGAAGAAACTGCTTCAGCACAGCCTGTCTGCATGGAAAATGGTGCCTCTGATGCTTTGTAAATCTGCTGCTCTGCGGTACCTGCTGCACTGCGATGAGGCTGTGGCTGCCTCTTGTGGGACAAGGCCAGGAACCCCTTCTGCTCCTCTGTGTAATGAGAGGGGAAACCAACAGCAGAGCCCTTTAGTTGGGAACGTGGGAACAGGAGGTCACTAAAGGTGAGCTGAGCAGCATGAGGAGGGAGGCTACAAGGAGTGAATTGAGGTTCTCCACTTCCATGCTCTTTCTTTGAGGAAGATGGGGGCAACTGAAAGCTGAGAGGCACAAAGGCATGGCTTTCCCTTCGACATGACAAAATAAAATCTCAGGGAAAAGAGAAGACTTAGGGCAGAGCTGTTAATGGTGGACAAGGGTGCTCAATGTGAAGGAAAGTGGTTGGGTTTGCTCCTGATCATGTCCTGGCTTTCACTGTGAGCTCAGCACTGAGTTTTCCTGCATTAACACAGCCTTCCAGTTCCCTTCTTGAGGCAAAGAGCCCTCTAACCTAACTGCAGAAAGGAAAAAGTCAGGTGTCTAATCCATCCTGAGTCTTGATACCCTTGATGCTCAAACCAGAGCGATGCACCCTGGGCAGGACAACTGATCCTGCTGCATCCTAAACCTGGTTTTCCCATACCTGAAGCTGGGCTCTAGCGCTCAGCCCGGGAAAGCTCTCCAACACAGGATACTACATCCACCCCCCAAATTTCTGATGCTTCTTGAGAAGTGTGAAGGGGTGGGACTGTGCTACAAACCCCGTGCTAACCATATGGCAGAGAGCAGCATCCTTCATGTGTGAAGAGGGGCCACATGCATTTCATGGGCCAGACTTATCACGAAGTCGGATGGGAATTATGTGCCAAAACACATAACAGATTTTTTTATTTTTTTCTCCCAAACAGCTCATTACGTCACAGTCTTTTGAAAATCTGTTGCTGCTTTTAGTGCCTGCACATGCAGCGTGACCCCCGAGCACTCGAAGAACTCCACACTCGCGCTTTTAAGAATCTGTCATTTATGTAAAAACTGGGGATAATGCATCTCCACCGCACAGACACAGATGGTGCTTGCAAGGCACGTGGAGATCTGCAGCAGTGTGTTTGTGTGGATGGAGTGCTGGAGGAGTGCTCGGGAGAGCTGATCGGACACAAGGCATGGGTGCAGATCTGCACCATGACTCCTGCACCTGGAGGATGGGAGAAACGCTGCTGACCTCCTTTGTAAGACACTTGGAGATGTGTCTGTGACAACAAGATTCGACGTGTGCAGTTGTTCGCTCTGAATATGCTACCAAAAGCAAGTATTTCTCCTTGTTACTTGTGGGATCTTCTGGATCCTGGATGCCTTTCTCAAGAAAAGGAGGTTTTAGTTACCTTTGTCACGAACAGCAGACTTTAAATCTCATTTGGAGGCTCCTACCCAAATATTTACATGACGGGTTTCCTAGGAAAGACGGGCTGGCAGCTGTTTTGCACTGCTGCACGAACCGCTCTGGCGACTTCCCTCCTCTCTATTCATCTTTGCTGTAGCTCCAAACGCTGTCTCGGAGCATCCTACAAACCGTCTGCAGCGCAGCCCCAAAACCCACACCGCACTCTGCTAATCCCTGTGCTCGTGTCATCCTGCCACTAAATTATCAGCAACCGTCCGCACAACTGCTGCAGCCACCACGAACAGCAGAGACAACGGGAGGAGACGGCTCCAAAGGGAACCTTTCCCTTTCAAAACGAAAAAAAATAAAAAATCCTCTTGGTGAAAGCACCGTCGCACTAAATAACTCCGAGGCACCAAATGCAAATGCTATTTACAGTGGCAGTT